CATTATAACGAATTATGTCTTATATTATTTTTTGACAACGGGTGTATATTTCGGATATATTTTTTACTCTTTTCTTCTGTGTCCTTGAGACAGATTTTATATAGATCATTGCCTGTTGTTCAATCGTTTTCAAATGAATCTAAATGGTTAATCTAAATATACGTCTTTCAAAGCCCTATATGATTATGATAATAGTTAAATATTATTTACATTTCTCAGGTGTTTCTTGTGAAAGGAGATTTATAGGTCAGATATTGTTAAATATTATTGACAAAACCTATTCTATATATATATATATATATATATATCATATATATATAGAAATAGCCTTTGATTTCCAACTCCGACACACCCTTATATACAATAGTACGGAAAGGGGGTGGGGCTCATTTATATTCAATGATATTATTTTTGACAAGCTCCCCAGATGAGCGAAAAGTACTTTAAAATGTTATTACACCATGCAATGTTGAAATCAGTTTATCACCCAATAATACATTCTACAGTAGATATCGCTTGTGTGATATATTCATTATCGCTTTACATGAATTTGATTGGTCAGTTGAAAAGGAACTACTTTTTTTATTTTCAAAGAACAGTTCATTTCTTATTAAAAGTAACTTTTTTTTTTATTAAAAATGAACTATTGTTATTCAATTGACCTTGATGGAAACATTGGGTCAATATAAAGGACTTTGCAATGGTTGAATTGCTGTCAAAAAATGATGTATCACTACGCCGTAATGTTCAGTAAAAGTGAAAGCTACAGCAAAGAATTATATTTATCTATTTGTGCATGTAAGTAGGGATTGGGTGATAAATAAAATCTCCTACTCGTCTTTTTTTGATATAAAAAATATCAACACAAGTTGATAAAGTAACAAACAACGAGGCTCTGATATCAAAAAAGACTGGTAGGAGATTCACTATTTATACCGGTATACATTTTATCTTTTCGCCTTTTACCGTAATACAAAGTAGTACTAATATATTCAAATATATACACAAAAGTGCGGAAAGGGGGCGATGCTTAATATATTCTTTCCTTGATTTGTCTGAAATTGCTCGACCGAGTTTATTTAGTTCAGAAAAAAAATGATCGATTTGATTGTTTGTGGGATGACAATCTGTTTTCGTTAAAAATTTATATCGGGATATTACCGATTTTATGTTACACTCTTCGACACAGTAGGCCTGAATCGAAATGAAACTTAAAAAGCCGACTTCGGCATAATCTTTCGAAACAATTTTATAGCAGATAGAACTTGCTCCTAAAACTGATAGAAATAACACGCAAGCATAGCTTTAACCCAATTCAATTGTCCTCAATCAAATAGGTTTAGCTCATTTAAAAACCTGGGCTAACGGAAACCAGTGCCTGATTTACCCATAGGCCTGATGGGCTGAAATATAAGGCCTCAGGGTGTAGAGCTCCGGCCAAGACGTAAATTCTCATAAATCTTTCTTACTCCCCCCCCCCACAAACACTGTTGTATCAAACACCCGTTTTTATCCTCACTCAATCGTGTTTAAAACACACTTCCATCTAGCTCTTGTCATGACCGTGGGGATTTGGAGGGGCCTCATCAATGTAATAGCCTAGGACCTCAATTCATCAATATCCGGCTCTGAAGGAGTCCCGTATAAATTTAACGGATAATTATTAAATTACACGATTATAGTGAATGTGATTTTCAATTCTTCTGTTATCTGCAGAGGGAGTCACGGTAGCTAATTGGGTAAGACGCTGGCTCGCTAGCACGGAGGTGGCGTGTTCGATCCCTGCATTGGCGAAAAACCGAGGTCCCGTGTATACATTGGCGTTCACGAAAAAGATCCCCTGGCAGTTGTAATTCGTTAGAAGAGTAGGCGATAGTGCAGCTGCCCGGGCAAAATTTCCACAATAGCACGTACACTGTATGACGTATGCCCGTCTTCATTAGCCCAGTAGTAGCAGAACAGTAGGACGTTAAACCCCATTTCATTTGCTATCTGCCGAAAACGTACGAAGTCATTATCACTATCTAGATAGGTGCAAAGAGAAGGCGACACTTATAGCGTTTATTGTATAAATATTCATATCTACAAAATAATATTCTTATCAGGTGTACTATTACATACATGTATCACGTATCAACATGTATATTAACCACCCTTCGCAACCCAAAGCCCTAAATCAACCACCCTCTCCTACTCATCCCCTTAAACACCAACCCTTCATTCAACCTAAACCACGACAGTCAAATTCAGATCGCCTAAATAAATCCCCAAGAATTGGGTTAATCCACTGTTTTATTGATGATCAAACAATATTATTAGTTAGGATTATTAGTTATATCATAAGATAATTGTTTAATTAAAGAGACATTATGTAAGATTTAGAGAAAGTTAAACACTAGATAATGTAAAGGGAATATGCTGAAAATTTCATTCAAAGTGCTCAACTCTCAACCGAGATATGAACGATTTCATTTTATGCCTAGCCTCGATCATAAATACTAAAGTCGGTACGATATAAAAACATAATCTGGATTATCCATTTTTGGATTTAATCATCAATGAGCGTTGAGTAGCAGATCGGATTCAAATCCAGTGAAAATCCGACACATAACATGACATCGAGAGTTGATTATGGTTTGGATAAGTTAATTAATGTCTAATTAATAGTTCATATAACATTTCAGGCCTACAGAAATACCTACAATTGGCAGATTTAGCTCTTGCATAATGTATGTTTAAAGATCTAAGTTACTTTAATTATCTAGGTCTTTATTGACATTACGTGTTAGAATATCAAGATTATATTGCATCCCCCAGTCATTTCAAGAATATTGTATCCTTGGCAAACTGGAGTATTACGAAAAATGAGTATCTAAAGGGAATATCAGCCCAAAAGTTGGATAGCATATTTTAATGTACCTCTTTTGTAAATCCGATTGAATCCAAACTGGGGGATTATCTACCTGTATCGTTGCCATTTTGGGTTGGCTCGCTAGCCTGGAGGTCGGGTGTTCGATCCCTGCATTGGCCGAGAAAGTTCATCTCGATTTTCCGGCGTGGTTTCCCCTTGTCAGTGATGCAGAAAGGAGGGCCTGACAGGAACAGCTGCCTAGTCGTTCGGATGGGACGAAAAACCGAGGTCCCGTGTACACATTGGCGTTGGAATTCGATATAAGAGTAGGCCGTAGCGCCGCTGCCCGGGCAAAATTTCCCTCATAGCACACTGTATGGCGTATGCCCGTCTTCAATTAGCCCAGGTTAGGTGCAGAAGAGTAGGACGTTAAACCCCATTTCATTTCATTTCATTTTTGTTTTCTTAATTGAATACATTTTATTGTGAAATTCAAACTGGGCATTTCTTTAATATTAGCGATTTTTCTCTTTAATTTTAGCGATTATTCTCTTTAATTTTAGCGACAATTCGTGAAAATATAACAATTAGCATTAACTATATTTTTATCTGTTCAACCCCAAAATCTACAATTAAATAAGAAATTATTTTCTATAAATCTATTGGTATTAAGAAGAAACAACAATACATGTCGATTTTCAGGCATTCAGGAAAACTGTTGTACAAGGGGTCTAGTCACCCTCCCCCCCCCCCCTTCCCCACCGCTAACCGATTGTAATCCGCCCCCGCCCCACCACCCCCTCCCCTACACCTGGTCCATTCAGCTGTGGAATCTATTTTATAATGTTATGTCTTTTAACTTTGGAACCCCCTATATATTGATATATTGGGGGCTTCTTGATTCATCCCAGTTAGCCCCCATCCCCCCCCCCCCTTAATGCACTACTGACATTCTCCAACAACAAACAAACAAAATGTTTTCACGTTCCATAAATATAAGTACATCTTCGCATTGCTACACGAGATGACACACCCTATAGCCAGAACGAATTCGATCGTTCCGCCCCACCAACCACCGAACAACAAACCCCACCTTCTTGATACATCTATATATTATTCTTGATAGCACGTTAAAGATCCCCTGGCAGCTCGAAATTGAAATATAAATAAGCGCTGCTACTAGGGCAATATTTCCCTCATAGTACAATGTGCATGGAGTAAGCCTATCTTTTTTTAATTATTTGCATAACGTTAAACCCCATTACATTTTAAATGAAATGAAATGAAATGGGGTTTAATGTCCAACTGTTCTGCTCCGAAAGGGCTAATGAAGACGGACATACGCCATACAGTGTGCTATGGGGGGGGGGGAATTTTGCCCGGACAGCGGCACTACGAATATCGAATTTCAACTGTCAAGAGAACTTTTACGTGCACGCCAATGTATACACAGGACCCATCCGAACGACTAGACAGCTGCCCTTGTCAGGCCCCCGGTTCTGCATCACTGACAAGGGAGAACCACGCCGGAAAATCTGGATGAACTTTCTCCGCCAATGCAGGGATCGAACACCAGACCTCCAGGCTAGCGAGCCAGCGTCCTACCCACTTAGCCACCGTGATCCCCACAGTTTAAATATATTTACATCTAACTATTATAAAGTTATAACAGTTCACATAAATTGTTTTAATGGCATTTAGTAAGTGAGCTGACAATATACAGGATAAAATTCTATGGATTATTCTTACTGTCTATTGCTGAGTGACATTTAAACTAAGTTTATCTCGTCTTGATTAAAGATGCATTCTGTAAGAGCTAAATCTGCATATTGCAGCTCCTTATTTTGGCTTCAAATATCATATAAATTATAATTTAGACATTTATTTATATGCCAACTCTCTATTAAACTCTATAGAATATCTACTCGAAACATTATCGTTATTTGATAATTTAATTTAACAATGGATAACAATATAATTTCGCTCAGACTAAAGTAATTTGAATGCAATTTTCAATAGTTCCATTTTTCATTATCTATTTTTGAACTTTTATAGAAAGAACGACCAGCCCGTTATCTAAATCCTACACAATGCTTTTTTTTGCATTGGCAAAATATAAAGTAATTTTGTTTACGTATAATATACATACCTTGTTCGGAGATGACATTTTGACCGCTTTATCGATAATCCTGATTTATGCGTAATACATAAAGTTATCCATTACATTATACATTAGTCTATGTCTCGTTGTATTCAAAGGTATCCCTTCACTACAGGTAATTACATATCGTGTAACACCTTTTGAATTCTAGTCTCTAACCACCTGTATAGCCTGTCAAAGAATATATATATTATGTAGATGACACCACTGTAGGAAGGTAATACAAAAATACATCCACCGAACAAATAAACTATATTACTGTGCTATTTAATCTTTTGATTGTGCACATGTCCTAAACATTACTCGATATTTGATGGGAATTCAATATTATCCTGCTAGTAAAAGTTATTGATAACTATGAGTATAAAAACTAAGTTTAGATATTAAACAGTGTTAATGAAAACCAACTAACTTCTGAAACACTGGGAAACTGTATGATTTTATGGAGCACGCAATGTCTATAGAGGTATAAACCCGCACATTAATTCATATAACCGTTTTACGGATAAATGTATGAAAATATAGCTGTTTGTACATTCGTCTGGCACATAAAACGACGAAATCCAGACAACACACGAACGTAGTTTGCGTTTTAAATCTTGGTATCCGGACAACTATCTTTTTTCGTGTATATTCAACACAACTGCCATAATATATATATACCATAAATACTAAAAACAAACAAACCTGTTGGAGATATTTGAACACTGAAGGCTAACGCGAACAAAAACGTTCTAATCGTCTTCTGACCCTCAAACACATCTCAGCTACCACAGTGAAAAGCCAGCTATGCTTCGATACGTTTCAAAAATTTATATCGCAATAGAGGAACAATGCATTTGATCATATCACGCCTAGTATTCATGTATCTATCGCCATAACGTTCAGTCATATACATACGTTAAACTTACATGATCGTTATGAATCCTCTAAAATATTAGCCAGGGGTTAAAGTTCACACGGTCCCAAACGATCAATCAGACGATATAATCAACCGGTGGACGTAGACTTCTCGGTATAGATCTTACCTGTGTGACTACCTATATCGGTATATATATATATATATATATATATATGTATAACCTTACGTACAGTATGTGTTATTGCATGGTTGGTTCAGGTATGACCCGTTCCATTCACTGATTGCCCCTCTATGTATAATAGACTATATTTTAAAAGGACCTCAATGTTCTACTACATACACACCTGGGGGCCATAACTCAACATGTTCACATAGAAATATTACCCTACGGATATTATGCTTGGGGTTTTTAGGATATCAGTTTCCGCTCACTATTTGTCACTTATATAAGAGAACATATTTTAAAAGGGGCCACATTGTCCCCAATCTATGCCTTCTATCGATGTTGTTATGCTTAGAGCATTCGTGATATCACCTTATATCGAAGTCGTTTGTCCATAGTTCAAATGCTGCAGGGGTTTGATGATATCTGAAATGGTATCTTGGTAAAGTGTGACTATTGCTTAAGTACGCTTTATTCTTTTAGCTAGGGGCAAAATATTAAAAATAATTAATAAATGTAATCGTGATAAATAAGCTGATGTATGAACAAGAAAACACACAAGATAGTAATAAAAGAGGTTTTAAATGACATGTTGCTACAGGCAAACGCCGTCTAGTATCTCTCACGGTAGTGAAATGAAATTAAATGGGGTTTAACGTCCTACTGTTTTGCTCCGAACTGGGCTAATGAAGACGGGCATGCGCAATACAGTGTGCTATGAGGGAAATTTCGCCCGGACAGCGGCACTACGGCCTACTCTTATATCGAATTCCAACTGTCAAGGGATCTTTTACGTGCACGCCAATGTGTACACGGGACATCGGTTTTCGTCTCATCCGAATGACTAGACAACTGTCCTTGTCAGGCCTTCCGTCCTACACCACCGACAAGGGGGAACCACGCCGGAAAATCCGGGTGAACTTTCTCGGCCAATGCAGGGATCGAACACTCGACCTCCAGGCTAGCGAGCCAGCGTCTTACCCACTTAGTTACCGTGATCCCCCTCACGGTAGTGCTTCGCAAGCTAGGCTGAAAAACGTTTTGGTGTCCTTGAAGTTTAAAAGGAGACTTCTGGTGGTCTTCTTCCAGGAGAGAGGATGCGAGGCGTAAGGGAAGCTAGCCAAGAAAAATAATAAGCTGATGTAATAAAAGGAAACACACAGCAAGGTAATAAGGAATTAGGTTTAAAGGGGCACGTCTACATCTTCTACTGGATCAGCAACTTAAGATGGACCTCAGTCAAACCGCCCCCTCCGATCACCACCCATAACATATTTCCGTCACCTGTGCCTCCTTTTTGTTTATCCACCTTGTCTGTGCTAAAAATAACAAATTATAAAGCAAAACATGTAAGGCCGGTAAGATAGTTTGGGAGGAGGTGGGGGCATAATCCGAACATTTCCCCCCACCTCTCTCTCTCTCTCTCTCTCTCTCTGCCCAGCCCTGAAATAATGTGTTATTTCTGGCGTTCCCGTACCGAATCTGAGATCAGTAAGTGAGAAAGTCCGCTATCGTAGCTTTCTCTAAAGGCAGTGGTTGTATGCTATGGTCATGTCTGTAAACTCTATAACTTCTATATCTCAGAGTTTTTAAATTGTTTTAAAGCTTGTAATTATTGATCAGCTAGTCATAAGAAGGAACTCTATTAAAATTCAGCGCGCATAATCTATTTACACTGAGCTATTGCCCCTTTCATTGAATCCTTTTAAGCAACACCACGTGATGTCCATCATAAAGATGCGACACGTTCGTTTTTTTTTCAGATGAATGTATTTTGTTGTGGTTGTGGTGGCTATGTTCACGTAGCTAAGGAAAGCATCCGCAGATATAGAGGAAAAGTAAAAATGTCAACACGAGTTTCGAAATATATTAATAGCTGTTGTTAAATAATGTAATGTCAAGTAATGTAATGTCAAGAAATCTAATGGCATCCGAACGACTATGCGTTGTTCCTTGGCAGACTCTCTGTCATGCACCGTGTCTCCCCGCGATCTTTGATATATTGTCTGTAAACATGAAGTGCTGATCAATAGGATATTATATTTGTACAACACATACTAACAAAACACATGCTGCATTCATTTATTAATGGGTGAAGTCGATGGCGTTTAGGAGAGACCAGTTGCCAGGTCTAACGTTATCTATCACGAGTTGTGTCCCCTTAACTAAGCGAACCATTGACTGTAAGCCACCTTGTTGCGATATCGGGACATTTATTGGTATCTCATATAACACATTTCACACGGGACCCACCCAGGCAATATTGATACCACGGGGCTAGGCCTACTATTTTTCCGGTACACGTATTCCCAGAAATGTAATATGGGTCCCTTATGGGTGTTATATTGTATTTTCCACAAATATGAAATGGGTGAAATATGGGTATTCCCACAAATATAAAGTGGGTAAAATATGGGTATACCATATTTTTGATTATTCCACTAAGGAGCTTGACATTTTAACTATACATGCTCATGCAGAATACAAATCCCGCTCCCCAATTGAAATGAAACAGGTTTTAACGTCCTACTGTTCTGCCAATGAAGACCGACATAAGCCATACAGTGAGCTATGAGGGAAATTTTGTCCAGACAGCCGCTATGGCTTAGTCTTACATCAAATCCCAACTGCTAAGAGTTCTTTTACGTACACGGGAACTTGGTTTGTCGTCCCACCCGAACGAGTGACCTCGCTTCCAAATATTTGATTGTGTTACTTAAACCTAATCCTAGCTACCCGATATTCGATACAATCTTCAAACATCCAGTCATTATTCGTTCCATCTACAAAACGGAAAACATATGCAGACCGGTCCATCGGTATTGACTATGGAATGATTTAAAAGACAATATAAAAAAAGAGTCTAAATCACATTTTTTTTTAAAGAAATCACTAAAACCGTTTCTCTTTCAAATTGATTAATCATAGTACTGTATATTTATGTTCATAATAAATGATAAATTTTATTAATTATTAAAGTGATATTTAACGAATGCATCTACTGCAGTAACGGGCTCTATATTAAATGTAATATACTTAAACCTAATATGGAACAGAAAGTGTGATTTTGTACCAACAGTTTGCAATATTACTTATAGCTGAATTGGTGGATAGTTAATTGAAGGGGGGGGGCGTATATATGTGTATCATCAGCATACAAGTGAATATTAGGTCCAAAATGTTTAGTGTATTTCGCGAATGGTCGGGTGCAGACAATGAACATACAGGGCCTAAAACCGACCCTTGGGGCACACTCCACATCATAATATAGAACAGATGAGACATCTCCATCCTTCATGAATGGAAATATTGGCCTTACCAATACCGACGACCAAATGGTAATTAATACTTCTACAACTTCAACGTCAATGAGTTGATATATACTCTGCATTGAGAACCCGAAACTGATTAAAAGTTTGTCCCACATGGATACCACCCAAAAGATGGGTACAATATCAGCCCTAGATATTCAGTTCATCCTACCCTTGGCCATAAGAAATAAATATAAGTTACAGTCGCTGATAAGAAATATCAAATCTACCTGAGTTACTTCCCTTTGCTTGTGATCAAAAGTCAATTGTGATATAGGCGAACGAAACATAATAGGTGAAACTGATAACTTGAGAATTGTTGACCATAGTAATATAGGAGGAGGAGGGTCACATAAGCAAACCTTTTCATCTTGTATATACAGGTTATAGTTCTAACTTTCTGTTCTTGGAGTAACTTCATTATACAATCTTGACCCATCACCACCATAAAGGTAAGTAGGATAAACTGTACTAATTCTTTAAGGGCTACAAATACTCATGTCTGTTTTACATAGGAAGTATAATTGATGAATTTGTTTAAGTGACGCCCCTCGCCCATTAGTTGGTAGTTTAAGTCACAAGGACATTTCCGAATAGTCCGATAAACACACGCCATGACACATTTTTATTTAAAGGTAATCACTACTGTGGAAGCTGACGTTAAAACACCCGCTGTTACTACTACTACTACTACTACTACTACTACCATATTCAGGTTCCAAATACCAGGTATAAATGTGTAGGAATCTTGCCATTGATTGCACTTTGAATCCAGAAGGTAACCTCGGACCATTGGTCACCAGCACTGTCATTATCGGAGTCGTATATACCAACAACGTATGTTTTTATAAACGTTATCCTGAACACAACGTAATTAAAGCGACCGACTACTACTTTCGATTGTTTTCCATTATAGTGTTATAAGGGAATACAATTATGTATTAATTTGTATTTGTTATTTGCTCATATGTCATAATATAATAGAAGGCGGATGGTAGTCATTTAAAGATCCCGAATGATCGAATTACTAGTCTTAAAAACGTAATGGTAAGCATGGAGAGAAAGACAGAAATGGGGTTTAACGTCCACTCGAAACAAACTAGACTAACTTGGGACTAATATACAATGTAGTGTTTATGTTATTTCAATAATTCGCCATGACGTGGGAATCTTTAGCAGTGGGAGAAAACCCAGAGATACTAGCTACTCCTTGTCATTTACAACACAGACCACATGATCTAAAGCGCACTTGCTAGACCACAAGACCCCCCCCCCATTGAAAAGGAAAGAGCGGTCTTTTATATAAAGTCGTTCGTGCATTATTAACTCTTCATTTGTTTATTGTGCATATTTAAAGAGATAGGACAACAACCCTTCATTTATTGTTCACAAGCACGACGTTTCGTATACGCTGTATAATAAACCAGCGACTGTTGTTCTATATATTATATTGTTCTAATTTTTTTCTGATATAAATCACATAATGCCACACTTTTGAATTAGATTGAGTCTATTATTGTTGTGTTAACAGTCGAGTATCTTTAAACATATTTTAGAAGAGATAACCAGTAGTTTATCTATATAGACCACCTCGTTTATACATGTACATCTCAAATACAGGTTATAATATAAACGGGGGTAGGTAGAAGTGGGGTTAAACGTCCACTCGAAACAAACTAGGTCAGTTTTAGGACTCACGTATGGTTCAGTTTTATTTCAATAATTTGCGTGGTCAGCGGTAGGAAACCCGCAGAAAACCCACGAGGTTCAATCTGTAAATATATTTGCCAAGTCAACCAATATGATATTTTAATATGTTGTCCATTAAGAGGCGCTCAATGAAAATGTGACAATGAACATGTCCAAACAAAACTGTCAATTTTTATTTAAACGATAAACAGTTAACACTGTTAACGATAAGAGGTTTAACATGGCGAACCCTGGTCGATTGATACATTAGACTTTATTAAAAATCATTGTTCGGATAAGAAGGACACGTCTTGGGTTTAAAAATAAGTAAATACGTCATTCACGATTAGTCTGTGGATGAGTTTGTTACTAAAATTGAATGATTGTTCATGATATTACATTTGACTGCGATATCATCCTCGGTGGAGGCGTACGTTAACCCCGACCAACAATGAATGAAATAAAATCCCATGACAATGACACTAATGGACGATTAATATGTCATTACATCTTTCTGTACAGTATATAATATTAATAGACCTGCATTTGGTCAGGGACTGATTTCAATGGAATGGCTTGAGTCAGCCAGTACCACTTTATTTAATATCGAATTCAAGTAACTATAGACCCATACCAATTACCGGAAATCCAATTAAGGCATTTTGTCCGGGCTTCCGCTTACCACTATCATAATATCACTAGGGATTAGCAAATGAAGCGGTCTGTTACAGCGAGTTTTTTAAATCAAGTGCACGGAACTGTGGGTAACAACTAGAAACATCAACGCCAATTGATTAATCAAATGTCTGAAGTCATACGGTCAAAAAAACGCTCGTATGGCCCCTGAGGTTGGATCTTCATAAGGTCTGCCATTGAGTCAACTGGCGTGGTTTCGATTCCCCGGTTGTACATGAACAGGAGTAGGGTCGCCTGTCCAACCTCGTGGGTTTTCTCCGGTCCTCCGGTTCCGCCCACTGCTAAATATCTCTACGTACATGCGAATTATTGAAATAAAATTGAACCATATATTAGTCCCGAAATGAACTAGTTGTGCCGAAACATTGTAATCGTTCTGGGTACTTTATTGTATAACTATTTAACAGCCGTAACCGTAAACCATATAGGAGGTAGACCCATGGATCCTTCAGGTGAATATCCATGAATTACATTAGAGTCAGAAGGTTGCATGCTACTTCTAATTTGTGAATGGTGAGCCATATACAAGATTTGATACAAGACTGTCAAATGTTGTCCCTTCTGTTGTGGACAGTAGCCAACCAATCGAAAATTTGGGGAAAGGTTAAAGTGGGGTAAATAAAGTTAATTGAAAAATCTTTGGTAGTCTGCATCCCTATTAATGGTTAGAGTTTTTAGTTATTTCCCCTATCAGTGATTTGCGGTAAATGTCAATGCGTTATGTTCTCAAACCCCATCTCCATCTTTCTATTACCTTTGGGGTATTGAATGGCCGAATGGTTAGCGCGTGCGTATAGTATCATAAGGTAGGGTCGCCTGTCCAACCTCGTGGGTTTTCTCCGGGTCCTCCGGTTTCCTCCCACTGCTGAAGATCTCTACGCGCAAGCGAATTATTGAAATAAAGTTGAACCCTATGTTAGTCCCGAAATGACCCACTCTCTCTCTCTCTCTCTTTCTGTGTCGATTCGTACGTAGGTGTTTATTATTTCAGTGTAACCGTTTTTTCACCTTCAAGTATTTCCTGTTTAGTGAGGCGTTATATAATATAATGAGATGCATACTTCTACATTCAAAACTAAATCATCGCTACAGGACATGTATTGTTGTGAAAATATGAACAGCTCATGAGCAACTTACAACAGAACATTAAATTGTTATTAAAAGATCTCAACCTGGAAATAATTTACATAACAACACGGTAAACTAAATTAACTTGCACCTATTAAAACAGGCATCAGATTACTGCAGTCGATAAAACCAACCAAACAATATCACATTATAAACAGTAACATTTTCCCAGTGAATCAGCCATAGTTCGGATAAACTGTACACTCGTCACGCAACGTGACATTTAGTTTAAAGAGAACTCTTTGATATGTGTTTTAAAACTTTAGTTTACAGTGACTAGAACTCGTTGAGTTTAGTTTAAAAAGAATTCTTAATTTTAAAACAATTTATTTTAGTTTTAAATTTTAAAACAATTTATTTTAGTTTTAAATTTCAAAAACAATTTATTTTAGTTTTAAAATTTTAAAACAATTTATTTTAGTGCTAAATTGAGTTTTGGTTGACAGAAAACTCTCTGATTTAGACTGGCAGATATCCACTATTTTCAGATTTGACTGATTTTGTGACACGAATGAACCTAAATTACTAAACAAATTCTCTTCGGTTTAATATTTTGAACCCCAAATGTATACTCTTTAAGCTTTTCCCATTATTAATAGAAATAACTCATCCACTCGACATAAACTAGGTCATTTCGGGACTAACATATGGTTCAATTTTATTTCCATAATTCGCTTGCGCGTAGGGTCTTTAGCAGTGGGAGGAAACCGGAGGACCCGGAGAAAACTCACAAGGTTGGACAGGCGAATCGAAACCACGCCAGTTGACTCAATGACAGACTTTATGATACAGCGCGCACGTGCTAACCATTCAGCCATCCAAACAACCCATAATTCATTGGATGGACCAGATTCAGGACCTTAGTTTGACATGAATCATAGAGATCTAGTCCCTTTAAATATATGTTTTGACAATTCCAAATAAGGACTGAATACATGTATTAAGTAATTTCCATATAAGGGTAACATATGTGAGGGCTCTTGTTACCACCCCACCCACCTATATTATTACATGTATAACAACATTTATAGTTTAATATAAATATGTCATGAAAGAAAAAACCCAGAACGCATTAGATTGAACCGATAAAACAAATCTGTGATACAGGTGTAACAAAGCAGGAGATATATTATTTTTTATATATATTGAATTACAATCCCTAAATTTCATTCGGGCAGAAGCTTGATATCTGTAATCTTTTTATAGGCATTTAGTAACTGGATAGAGCAATAAACTATAACACATAATTATGGTAGAATAATTACTGATTTATTTAGGCGACGTTTATTTGCTTGAAAACGTTGAGAGAATACGTTTCGAAGCGTCGCCTAAATAAATCAGTAATTGTTCTTCTATAAGTATAGTTTATTGAATGTCTGTATTTAATTAAGAGATGATAAACTCTATTGACCAAATGAAATGCGGTCTAACGTCTTACTGTTCTGCTCCGAACTGCGCTAATGAAGACGGGCATACGCCATACAGTGTGCTATGAGGGGCATTTTGCCCGGACAGCGGCACTACGGCCTACTCTTATATCGAATTCCAACTATCAAGGGATCTTTTATGTGCAAGCCAATGTGTACACGGGACCTCGTTTTTTTGTCCCATCGAACGACTAGACAGCTGTCCTTGTGGGGCCCCCCGTCCTGCATCACTGACAAGGGGAACCACGCCGGAAAATCTGAATGAACTTTCTCGGCCAATGCAGGGATTGAACACCCGACCTCCAGGCTAGGGAGCCAGCGTCTTAGCAACTTAGTCACCGTCCCCCACCCCCTATTGACCAAATATAAATATTACATAATAGAGATTACCGTTTAAAGGAGCTAAGTCGCTAATTGACACAAATGGGTCGCAACGCATACAATAATGTAATATGAATGTATATAAATTGATTTACATTCAATCGTTTCTGTTTTTACTGTAATGTCTAATCAGTTAGGTTCGGCGAAATACGCCAGTATTCTCAATCGAATTTCAATCTTTAGCGTCTGGTTATGCCAGTCTACGCCGAAAGTATATATTGGGCATGCTCTCCAGATAAGAATATAGCGTCACCGTTTCACATGACTTGTGGAATATGCCTAGCCTCGTTTTTCGAGTCCCTTATTACAAATAGCACTAAAACGCATTATGGTACACGATTCGTGTACCAATTGTAAAATGTTTATTTTGTCTTTAAATATTGGATATCAGAAGGCCATCTTTTCCCGATAAGATCACAACATTAATGTTGATTTAAACCGACAAATAAATCGTGTTTTCAATGTCGAAGATTTTGGATGATTTTGAGTTAGAGACTTAGCTACTTTAAAAACCACTCAGACACATGTTTTGATATGCTATACCGAACAGGTATCTATAGTAAAAGCAATCTGATTAAGCTACAGATTTATATTTCGATTCGTTATTTTAAAATTTCGATGGCCTCTACTACATGGAGATCTAACCAGTTGTGGTAGGAGGTCGCGTCAGGGGTCATACGAGCGTTTTTTGACCGTATGACATCAGACATTTGATTAACCGATCGGCGTTTATGTCGCTAGTAGGATACCCAACAGTTCCGTTTCACTGGCTAATCCTTCACGTTATCCAAAACGATGTTTATATAACAACTCTTCCAGATCAAAGTGTAGTACAGATAAGTTAAACAAAATTTTGAACTATAAAAAAACGAAACGAAATAGGATCCGTGTTTGAATCAGATTGTAGTAAAACGGTATATGGAATCTTTCATACGTTATGATACATGTATATAAAACCATTACAATCATAGCCGTAAATCGAAAGATTGCAAAATCATATTCTAATATACAGAGAGAAGCTTCCGCTCTTCTAGGTCTTCTCTGCGATATCACTTTAGTGGAAGCAGACGTTAATGAACCAAGATAGTAGTAGCAGTAGCAGAAGGGGATGAAAGCAGAGATTCGGTCTGTCTTGGTAACTACACACGTGCGTGGCAATGTGTATAAATTATGTACCATACTGCACGCAGCGATCCATCTACGTCATACTTCGAGAATACTATCACTACCTTAGGTAAGGTTTTCGTCGTTTACTCGCGTCACTCGAGTCGACTCCATTGCCGAGTTTACCCGGGTGAAACATCCCGAACGGTCCGAGTAGTCCGAGTAGTCACATGACATCAAAACAGCCACGACGTCAGTATGTAATCGAGAGACAGGCTTTTTTGCGTATAGGACGCCATTTTGTCACGTGACAAACCCTTTTACTCTCCGCTCAACGGAAACCTTACCTTAAATGCCGTCCATTTAAAACGCTCACGTGATCATTTTGGGGCGGGACTATTTTGTGATTCGGCTCTGATTAATTTGACATCTTTCATACACACAACGGCAAAGTAAACCTATTTAATTTCATTCAATATGACAATAGAAGAGAAATAAATACTTCTAAAAATATATAAAAGCATACTGGGTGTTTTCGACTAAAGTCGTCGATGTAGGAATTAAAATGTCGGTTAATTAGAGCCTGTTCTCAGGCGGAGCTAGCTGTAGACAGGCAGTCTAAGTTTGGGATGATTACGTACCCGATAATAAACCTATTACACCCGATGTGTATCCTGTTTTCAAGTGTATAACAGTTCTAGCTCCACTTCTATGCTACTGGGAGGGGGGGGGGCGTGGGCGGGGGAGTAGCATCCCAACCACTAGACACCTGTCCTTGTCAGACCCTCCTTTCTGATTCACTGACTAGGGAGACCACGTCAAAATTTACGATGAACTTTCTCGGCCAACGCCGGGACCTTTAGGCTAGCGAGCCAGCGTCTTACTCACTTAGCCACCGTGGCGTCCTCAAAAGGATTATAAAGAGTCCGTCAAAAGATTGTATCTAAGATTACCATTACCAATTAATCATATTTTTGTAGAGAGAGAGAGAAATGGGGTTTAACGTCCACTCGACACAAACTAGATCATTTCGGGACTAACACATGGTTTAATTTTATTTCAATAATTCGCTTGCGCGTAGGGGTCTTCAGCAGTGGGAGGAAACCGGAGGACCTGGAGAAAACCCACGAGGTTGGACAGGCGACCCCACTCCTTGTAACGTACAACTGGGGATTCGAAACCACGCCAGTCGACTCAATGACAAACTTTATGATACAGCGCGCGCACGCTAACCATTTAGCCATCCACCCCGCCTCATATTTTTGTAAATACTAAATTGAATTGAACAATTTCTGGACTGATATTGAACTTCCACGATATTATATATGCAAGGGATTCAAAATACCTCAAATGAATCTCAGATATATATATATATATATAGGGGTCTTCAGCAGTGGGAGGAAACCGGAGGACCTGGAGAAAACCCACGAGGTTGGACAGGCGACCCCACTCCTTGTAACGTACAACTGGGGATTCGAAACCACGCCAGTCGACTCAATGACAAACTTTATGATACAGCGCGCGCACGCTAACCATTTAGCCATCCACCCCGCCTCATATTTTTGTAAATACTAAATTGAATTGAACAATTTCTGGACTGATATTGAACTTCCACGATATTATATATGCAAGGGATTCAAAATACCTCAAATGAATCTCAGATATATATATATATATATATATATATTTTTAATTTATGTACAGCTTGAGGTTGATATTTCGTGGATGAATTTATGGTGTGTTTTGATGATATAAATGGTGAACACAAAAACATCCGTGTCAACAACACCAGCAAGCGATGAAGACCCAGATACTTCCAGCGTGACTGCTTCAAATGATTCTAATTCGGGTAGTACCTTTACTGCAGATACGTCATCAACGTATACAACACTAACGGATATAAATACTACCATATATGGAAATGTGACTGATATACCCGAAGGTAAATAAAACATACATCAGGGCATATCCTCACCCCACCCCACCACCGCAACAAACATCCTATGCTTGATATTTTGCCCGGACAACGGCATTTCCATCTATTCTTCGTTGAATTTCGTTGTCGTTTGGGGTTCTTTTAGTATTCGCCAACTAGCACACCGGAAGGACATCGATTTCTTTTACCCACCCGACGGACTAGAGACTTTCTCATTACCATGCCTTGACTCTTGCACCATCCGGGATAAGAAGACGGAGATAAACCGTGAAGTGTGCTGTGGGGCTAATTTTACCCGAATAACAGCGTTTCCACCTATTCTTCATCGAATTCCCACTGTCAATGGTTCTTTAACGTACACGCCAATAGACAAAGATGCCTTTAACGTACACGCCAACTGTCAAGGGTGCCTTTTCGTACACGCCAACTCACATGGGTTCTTTAACGTACACGCCAACTGTCAAGGATTCGTGAACGTACACGCCTACTGTCATCGGTTCTTTAACGTACATGCCAATTGTCAATGGGTCTTTTACGTGCACGCTAACTGTCAAGGGTTCTTTTACGTACACGCCAACTTTCAAGGGTTCTTTAACGTACATGCCAATTGTCAAGGGGTATTTTATGCACACGCTAATTATCAAGGGGTCTTTTACGTACACGCCAACTGTCAAGGATTATTTTACGTACATGCTAACTGCCATGGGTTCTTTTACGCACACGCCAGCTAGCAGGCGGGTGGAACTCGATGTTTTCTTTGCCAGACCCACGCTCCTGCACTCCTGACAAAGGGACAGCCACACTTGAAAATCCCAATGACGTTTTATCGACCAACTCCGGGGTCGAATCCAGGACTTCTGGTTAAACAATCGGCCGCACTATGCAAACCGTCAAATATATATATCTAATAATGTAGATTGAGTTTTTTTTAATTGAGTCATTTCCATCCTAATTAATTGTGTTGTATAATGATTATGGAGATTATTTGTGTTTTCTAGATACAAGGATGTCACCCGATGTTATTATAGGTGTCATTGTTAGTCTTATAATTATTGGTGTCTTCGCTTTCATTATTCTCTACTATAATTATAGAAAAGGGTGAGTATTGGGTCCCTTTTAATATTATCACATATTTGGAGTCCATACACGATGTGGTCAACCCCATTTAAAATTTGTCCCTACGGGAGACAGTCAACCCCATTTAAAATTTGTCCCTACACAAGGCAGTCAATCCCATTTAAAATTTGTCCCTACACGAGGCAGTCAACCCCATTTAAGATTTGTCCCTACTCGAGGCAGTCAACCCTATTTAAGATTTGTCCCTACACGACCCAGTCAACCCCGTGTCTACACAAGGTGGCCATCTCCATTAAAGATTTGTATCACATGATTATCACATGGTGGCTAACTCCATTGAAGATGTATATACACTTGTGGCTGACTCTTTATGGGTAAAAGGAATAGAATGGTAAAGGATGTAGGCCACGAAATATTTTTAAATTCAGGTTCGACTCCATTCGTTATCTGACTGCACTTGTCTCCCTTGTAAAATGTGACTGCGTTCTTCATTCAATATCGTCCACGAAACCTTGCAAATTAAAAATCATGGACCAACATCATTTCTAAAACTTTTGCCGACTTTCAACTGTGAAAAAAGGGGGAACGCACAATTACCAATATGTGTATCAGAAATGGTCATTCAGCGTTCTCAAGATAAATGAAGTCAAATTATCTTTTGTTTCAGTCGACTTCAGAAATTGCTGTTTTGCTTAAAACCAACATCACGCACCAGACGATCCTCGACAACCAGCAGCAGACGACCTCTGGAACCCGATGATACCGGATCTATAGATGTACCGGATAGAAAAATGGACGATTTGTTTACAATTGGTGACGTAGAAGAAGATGGTGCCCAGGCTTCAATGGACGACGGTTATTATTATGACGAAGTGTTCGGTAGTTCGGAATTTCAGGACGAAATAACTAAAAGTTCCATTAAAAACTTGTACAGCATATCGGCTAATAAGGAGGACGACGATTCGTCACTGTTAGACGACGATGATCTTCCTGACTTGAGTTTTAGATAACAATAATGTTCCCAGACAAAGTATGGCTTTAGTAAGAAAACAATGGTGTAAATACTCGTTTGAAAGAAAGTGCAAGATATATCATACATGATCTAATTCATATTTATCGAAGACATAGATCGAGTAGACTACGCACTTAGTGTTTAAAAAGTGTGCAATACCAAAGGTAAAAAGCTATAGCGATTTACCGAACGCAATATGGGTTGCACAGATTTTCGTGATCAGCTATCTTTACTGGTCTTGGATTCTAACAAAATCTGGATATTTCTTTCGTTACGCTTGATTCGAGAACCTTTAGTGGCATTGTTTTGTATTTGTTTTCATCAAGATCTTCATCTCTCATTCAATTGAGTCAATGGTTCTATAGCAACCTAAGATGAAAACATCGAAATAACATTTTACGCTTGCTAATCATCTTCACATATGGGCATTTTTTTTTAAACCAAAACTGGGTATAACGCGAGTATATTTTCAGGCTGGTTTGAGTAAGCAATTCATAGATCTTCTCCCCAAATGTCAAGATCTCTTCCCCAACATGTATTGATCTCCTCCCTAACTGTCAAGATCTCCTCCCCAACTGCCAAGATCTCCTCCCTAATTGTTAATATCTCCTCCCGACATGCCGATCTTCCCCCGCCCCCAACTGTCATGATCTCCTCCCCAAAATGCCTGATCCCACCTACCCTAACTATTATGCCTTATCAACATGCCTAACCGCCCCCCCCCCCCCAACAAGAATGATCTCCTCCCAACATGCCTGATCTAATCCACAACCGGCTTGACGACTGATCTACTTCCCGCGCAAACATGCCTGATCTACACCCCAGCCGGCTTGATGTCTCCTTCCAGTCTAAAAATCACGTCTGAAAATAGATTTGGCCGATTAAAGTTTGATTGTCTTTGAATAATGTTTCATACATGGACTATTACATTGTTTAATGTAGGGATGAGATATAATGAGTAAAGCGTATTTTATTATATACATCCATTTTATCATATAATTATTTTTTAAAAAAATTCGACATATCTGTATCGCATCATCCGTGTAAATTATTTGTTAATAAAATATATCATTTCAATATCTATTTCAACCATTAATTCGTCATTCTATAGTGTACCAGAATACAGGGATTATTTTACGTTAACATTAGACTCATTACAAACAGAAACAACACCGATATAAAATGACTCGAAATTCGCGAATTTAAATGCGTATTCCTAAGCAATGGCTTGACGAATTCGTCTCAGATTTCCCGGCGTGGTTCTCCCTTGTCAGTGATGCAGGACGGAGGGGCTGACAAGGAAAGCTGTCTAGTCGTTCGGATGGGACGAAAAACCGAGGTCCCGTGTACACATTGGCGTGCACGTAAAAGATCCCTTGGCAGTTGGAATTCGATATAAGAGTAGGCCGTAGTGCCGCTGTCCGGGCAAAATTTCCCTCATAGCACACTGTATGGCGTGTGCCCGTCTTCATTAGCCCAGGTTAGGAGCAGAACAGTAGGACGTTAAACTCCATTTCATTTCATTTCATTTCATTTGTCTCAGATTTCCATTACAGTGTAATTTTAACATTCACGATGTAACAGTATAGTCAAATTAAAATTAAAACTGTACATGTAAGACAGCCCAGTCAATGACTGTTATGTGAGAGAGAGAGAGAGAGAAATGGGGTTTAACGTCCACTCGACACAAACTAGGTCATTTCGGGACTAACATATGGTTTAATTTTATTTACATAATTCGCTTGTGCGTAGGGGTCTTTAGCAGTGGGAGGAAACCGGAGGACCCGGAGAAAACCCACGAGGCTGGACAGGCGACCCTACTCCTTGCCACGTACAACCGGGGATTCGAAACCACGCCAGTCGACTCAATGACAGACTTTATGATACAGCGCGCGCACGCTAACCATTCAGCCATCCAACCCCCCTGACTGTTATGTTGTGGAGGAGTGAGGGGGGGGGGCACGGTAGCTCGGTGAGTGAGACGTTTGCTCGCTAACCTAACCTGGAGGTCCAGAGTTCGATCCCTGCATCGGCCGCGAAAGAGGGACAACGTATAGTCGTTCGGATAGGACGAGAAATCGAGCACAACAGTAAGGACGTTAAACCCCTTTTAATTTCATTTCATTTATGTTATTATGTGCCGTCTCTTGTCGTGTGAGGTATTATATGACCTATTAAATATGTGTTATCACTTGTACCATTAGCTCCATTTTATCTTTTACGAAACTAAGAAGAAAATAAAAATCGTTAGGTCAAACACTTCTCGATCGTAGACACAAAACACACGTTAAAGACTATGTCTAATTTTCATGAATCTGTGAAAATAGTCGAGGATCATTTTGGATTGAATTGTCGAGCAGTCCCAATTGTTCAAGCTTCAGCTATTTACCAAATTGTAGACACAAATTTTACGGTTAACTCGATTACCCAGTCCATCCTTTTCTCCGATAGACTCGATCCCTCAAGAGTCAATCCTTATCTCCGATAAGGCTTGAACCTGTTCTCACGATTTCGGTGTCTTGCTAGTGACTAGAAGAAACATATTTGTGAAGAGTCACTTTAATTTACAGTGACATTGGAATGGACCAATTTTGCATGTGTGATTGTTTTTGGTTGCTAAAAAAACATTAACCGAACAACAAGCCAGAAGAACAAGTCGTCGCATCGCAAATAGTGTAAGTAATAAACAACAAACTTACTGTACCCCCACGTGAATTGATTCTTTGGACGGGGAGAGGGGCTGGGGGTGTTAGTTCGCTGCGCTCCACATTCCTACAATATTTGTGATATAGTCCCGGGCCTTTGTTGATAAGGAACTTTTATTACTCCATTAGCTGTGTCCAGGTGTTGTCTGTATTGTATGTACGTATAGTTTTGCAGTCCCGGTTAACCAGGAGCTATTATATGAATATTAAAATCACTGACCTATATAAAGTTTGTTTGATTTAGAAAATATCACATGTTATTATGGGTAATAAATAGTAGTAAATAAATCCGCTTTAAAGAGACTGTTCATCGAGTCTTTTCAGTTGCCTTATTTTTGTTAAATTAATTTCAATATTTTGAGAGACAAAATGAAACTGTAGAAGTTGAAATGAAATGAAATGGGGTTTAACGTCCTGGGTCCTGTTTCACGAAATTTTAACTAAAGATAAAATCCAAATTTTAGTAGATACTTCAATTTTGATTGGCTAAGCTCTACAATCAGTCTAATATTATCCAATCAAATTACTAAAATTTGGATTTTATCTTAGTTAAAATTTCGTGAAACAGGCCCCTGCTTTTCTGCTCCAACTGGGTTAATGAAGACATGGATACGCCATGCAGTATATGCTATAATTGAAACGTTCTGCCAGGGGTCATGGTGGCCGAGACGGAAAGGCTCTACTAACCAGGAGTTCTGGCCCCGAGTTTACAAAGCATTCGCAGACTCAACTTTCAATCACTGTTTATGAAATGAAATGAAATGGGGTTTAACGTCCTACTGTTCTGCTATGAGGTAAATTTTGCCCGGGCAGCGGCACTATCGCCTACTTTTATATCGAATTCAAACTGCCAAGGGGGTCTTTTACGTGCATTCCAATGTATACACGGGACCTCGGTTTTTCGTATCATCCAAAGGACTATACAGCTGTCCTTGTCAGGCCCTCCGTTCTGCACCACTGACAAGGGGTAACCACGTCGGAAAATCAGGATGAACTTTCTCGGCCAATGCAGGGATTGAACACCCGACCTCCAGGCTAGCGAGCCAGCGTCTTAACCACCTAGCCACCGTGGCTCCCCACTGTTTATGAGAAATATCTAAGATCCAGAAACACAAAGCTTTGCGCATAGTTTCTCAGTGATGTATTTGATACATTAAAACAACAAAAGTTTTGTAAAGGGCTATAATTTAGTTAAAATAAGGCGAACAATTTTGATTAATTCTTAACTTATGTTTGCGAATGCTTTGTAAACTCGGAGCCTGGTGTTCGATCATGTTTGCCGAAATTACTTTACATACAATGCGGTTAGTCAAGAATATCGGAACGCCTACTCTAAAGAAAATATAAACGCTATTCATGGATTACAAATTAACAAATAAAATGAAAGGTAATTAATCAGATTGGATTGTCTGCGATATCACATTAGGCGGAAGCGGACTTTAAGCCCGACGTCGAATCAATCAGATTCGATATTAGGATTATTTAGGGTACAGCCGTTATGCCTTTATTTTTTTATGGAATTTTGATATTTTATTATGATGCATAATGTATTGTTTAGGGTATTCGCATGTGAGCATTCATCTTAAAGATACATTATGTAAGATTTAGAAAAACTTTAAACATACGTTATGCAAGCGCTAAATCTGTCTGTTGGAGCTCTTTCTTTAGGCCTGAAATGTTATCTAAAGTATTGATTAGACTATAATTAACCATTCCAGACCATAATCATCTCTAGATGGCATCGCTAGCCTGCGATCTTTAGTGGATTATGAGTCGATTTACTGCATAACTTTCCTTCACGATTTAACGATTAAATGGATAATCGAGACTATGCTGTTTATCGTACTGAATTTAGTTATGATGATCGAGGCTAGGCGGACATTTCAATCACTTAAGTTCTCGGTTCATAGTGGATCAATTTGAATGAAATTTTTAGCAAATTGCCTTTACATTATCTAGTTTTTAACTATTATATGGAGAATTGCCAACTCGTTA